TAGAGAGATATACATCCCCCAATATTGGGCTGTGGAGCACTGAAGCTGCACCCTCTGGAGTGATGGAGCTCCATCCGATACAGCTGGGATGAGTTGGAGTGGAGTTTGTGGTCCAGAACTGATCATCAGTACCTCAGTATCAATCAAATCAAAACAGTGTTCTAGCATTCCAGATGTTTTCTGAAACTTAAAACTCAAAGTATTTGATGTTGACCGTTCTTTGTTTTACACTTAACAGAACATTTGCATTTAAGACCTAATATTATTTTAAATAATAAAGTGAATCAAAATGGCATGACAAAAAAATTGGCACCCTTAACCTAATATTTCATTTCCCAAGAGCCTCAAAGAGAAAGGGGCCCCCAAATTTTTGCATGTGATTTTTAGGCTTCCGTACAATTCTTAATTGAAACATCAATGTATCTAACTAGTGTCAAATACAGTGCCAACAATAATGCAACTTGCATTCTGACACCCCTTAAATGGGCCCCCCTGTGTAAACGGTAAGGGGCTTAGCCCGGGCATAGTCTGTAAAAGGAATGAGGAACGTCTGTGAGTGGAATGATGCAGAGCTATTTAAACAAAACCGCATGTCCTACAGCAAAATTACAGCATTTTTGAGCTTCAGCCCCTCAGAATTCAGTAGTGCAATACACTTTCTGTTTTTTGTGCTAAGAGGGATTTTCTCTCGTCTACTGAAATTTAAACATTTAATGAAAGTGAGGTGCTCATATATGGGTAGCCACGTGGAAAGTAACTGTGGTCAGTGGTTAACTGGGGGTGGTATAACTTTTCCTTTTTGTCCAGCAATTTTGTGACAGCCCCTAACACTAAAGTGGACGTAGGAGCAAGCTCTGTGATAGCATGCAAGTTAATGTGTCAAATAAAAGAACATACTAAAAGCACAGTTCACTAAGAGCTATGCTTGTCGTAGAGTTTTACTTCAAAGGGAGAAGATAATCACTTTTAAAAAACAGCAAACATTAAAGTTAAATACAGTGCATTGATTTGAAGTCATGTAACTTACAAGCAGCATGACAAAAGTGAAAACAGTGGTATTATGAAAATTTGGCACATTTAATGTTATGGCAGTTTCTACTAAGGCAAATGAGGTGCAGCAAGGGGTCCATGCATGAAATTTTCAGGTGGCCCAAAATTACTGCTGGCACCCCCATGCATGAATGGATAGCAAAAGATTGATTCATTTAATAACTTTCAGGATAAATGGTGCTTGTTTTGAATACTCAAAATGTATATTACATGTTAAAATCATCCTGGCTTCACCACTGGCATTTATTAGCATGTGACAATTCAGCTTCTTTTCAAAAAATCTGACCACTGAAATCTTGTTTAAATTGGATCATTGCATGCACACGTTTGTTTCTTACATGTATGAGTAGAAATTTTTTATTTTATATGCAAGATTGACAATTTCATTTCCATTTGTTAATTTTCAATTTGAACCTCTTAATTAGAAATTAAACAACAAATCTTCTTTTTACTTATGAAATCTGAATTACTGCATGTACAGTAAAACTGTTCTCATTACAAAGACTTGGAAAATGTAAAGAGGTCTTCTTGGTGATAATTGAATTTTTAAAAACTAAAACATAAGTCTTACTAATAAAATATAATGTTATGTTTTTACTGGTAGCAATGGAATTTTTGTTTTTCAAATTAAATTTCTGATATCAAGAAACTGTGGCTTAAAAGGTAAAACTGGCTTGCCATAGTGCAGGACCTGGTTGGAATAGTTACGGCATTGTTGTACTTTGCCACAGGTCCAAGTCTATGTGAACTTTGCAAAACAGGCTAAAAGCCCACAGTCTGTCCCATTTACAGGTTTAATTCACTAAATGTGGTTTTCACTCATACTGTCCTTTAAATCATCACAAGCTTAGCTCATGAATGACAATGATCTCTTACAGATTGTGCTGTGGTTTGTGTTCTTTTGTGATTTACTTTGTAGATCTAAATGTTCTGGATGAATCACTTCACTGTTGACAAAAGAAGAAAGAAGAAGGGGGTTTATTTGAGGTGCTAAAGGTGGCAATGAGTAGTGCATATCCAAAAAGTTTCCCAAAATGGTCCAAAAACCAGACCTGAACTATAGCTTTGCTTACCTATCACTAAATAAACAGTGATTTTCGTAAGTGACATGGGGCTATTTACTGGAGTTTGGTAATCATTTAGCTGTGCAACCAAAAGGATATTGACCCTTTATTTACAAGTTGCTTGTACTTTTGCAGCTGAAAGCAAGGAAAGATGCAAATGCTGTTAATAATAACAATGATGTCTGCAAATCATAGGCTGATAACGTTGTTGGAAATGTACAGTATTTATGAACATATTATGTGCATGTTAAATGTAAGGTCATATTTTGGGTTTAAGTAATATTTCAGGATGAATTAATCAGGAACTGTAATTTATGACATAGGGATTGGGGACCTCTGTGACAACATATTAAATGCCACGTCAAAATAAATTCAACTAGCCAGTCAGATTGCAGAGTACATAATTAAGCTTGCTAATCACATTGCAAGAGCAAAGATTAAATTAGGAAGTCAGATTGTAGGATTGAAAATACTTGATGAAAACTTTGACTGGTCAATCAGAGAATAGGAGGGGAAATTTCGCCAATTGCACTGCAGGTCGATAATTCAAACATGATGGAGAATTCAGCTAGACAACGACTGAAGGACTGAATTCATCTAGTCATCAGAAATTTATCCAGTGTAATTTCATAGGAAAGTGCACTTTGCTGCAGTAAGAGACATCTTTACACTAGATGTTGCAACATTGCTATGAGGATTTGGTTGCATTCAGCCACTACAGCCTTAATGAGGTCAGGTACTGATGTTGGATGGTTAGTTCTGGATTAAAAAAACGCCACTCCAGCTCATCCAGAAGGTTACTTCACTGCAGCAAACACATTTCCACTGCTCCACAGCCCAATGGCAGGGGTCTTTGTATCCCTCGAGCTGATGCTTGGAGTTGAGCATGGTGACCTTTAGCTCAGGTGCAGCTGCTCCGGAGTGTCCCATTCTGTTGGAGATTATATAAGCTGTGTGTGCTCAGTAAAATACCTGTGTCAGCAGTTGTGGGTGCATCTTAAAGTAGCTAAATTCCCTTGTTATGTTACCAGCATGAATTAAGCTTAGTCCTGTACTACACAGCAAACTGAAAGGAAATTCCATTGATAGGAAGATGTAATCCAGGATTACACTGTCTAGGAAACATATCTTAGTTTATTAATAATTGTGAAATGCAACTGTTTTTCATTTTGCTGAATGTTTCAGTCTATTAGAATTAAATGAGCCCTCCTATCATCTTTAGACCCCATTCAGTGTTTAATGTAAAGTAAATGATAAACTTTTTTTTTGCTTCATATTTACTGATTTGGGTAAACATAACAACTGGGTGAACAACTGGATAAACATAAAATTAACATAATGATGATGATGACACATTTTCGATGTTCTGTATACATTTTGTACACATCAGTGTTCTTTGGGGTCAGTTTGACAGCATGCTGTTTTAGCTGTATAAAACAAACATCAACAAGTTATACACATTTGCTTTGAATGAGAGATTGATCACAATAACATGCAGTTTTATAATCTTCAATAACCTTTCCTCTGTTTTATGACCCTGACCTAACATAACCACACCTGCAATAGTGTGAGAACCACTGATACCTCACAATTAATGGAGGAGGGGAAACATAATTCTCACCAGAACTTTGATATTTCCCAGAGGTTTACATTGCTGGGGTCAATTTGACCCCAAGGATGACAGATGTCAGTAAATTTGAAGACAACAGGGGTGATAATAGATATACTTATGTGTAGTTGTGAGTACTCCCAATCAAATGACCTTTGATTTGCAAGAGAAAATAAGTTAACGCATCACCTACAGGAAATACACATAAATATGGCAATTTTTCAAAGCTTTATTACTATTTAATAGCTTAATCACTATTATTTGAGTTGTTTGCAATTTGCAGTTATTTTCCACAGTGTTTAGTCTGTCATATTTACATTGCAACAAACAGAATTTAATTGAATGTGTTTTTAGCAGTTTATCAGGCAAATTCATGCGAATAAAAGAAAGCAGAAAATACATTTACCGAGATCTATGGGTTTCACAAAGACAACAAAAGTTCTAACTTCTGACTGGTGGTTTAACACCTTCAGAGAGCAGCGCTGAGTAATGTAATTTGAGCTGAAGCTGTTTCTGTCTACAGTTAGGTGCTATTGACAAAAACAAAGTGGCATAGCTTGTCAGCCAATTTGGTCATTCTAAGCTTGTACTTTAAATCAATTTGTCTTTTTACATAAGCACAATTATTTATGACAATATTCAATTTCATGATTGTGACAGGCCTAGTATAAAGTACATGTCTGTATATGCTGTAAGTCAGTGTCTGTATGATGGGCGCAAAATGGAATTTAAGTCTTTTAATGGATGCTGTCATGCTAAGAACACGAGAATAGTAATATCTATACCAAATAACTGTTTTGTATTTTATGTATACACCTAAGCTAAAGCCTTTGATTGTTTGGTATTTCAAAATTATTTTGTAACTTTTCCTTAAACTTTATCCCTATCTGGCATGCACAGACATGACTCATTACAGTTCAATTCTCAAAACAGACAGCTTTGTATGTGTTGCATCACTTGAAGCTTACATGTGCAGTCATCCTCTTAACTTTAACACATCTAACATCTAATGAAGAAGTAGTGTGGAAATCTTGCACACACAGACATGACTCCTAACATTTTACTTCTCAAAACTGACAGCTTTGTAGGTGTTGCATCACTTAAAGCTTACTCTTGCAATCACCCTTCTAACTGTAACAGACACTTCTACATCTGATGAAGTAGTGAAGAAATCCATGTTCTCATATGGTTGTTGAAGAAATACCCCAAGTGTGTGCAGAGGGCTGTTTCAGCTCTGATAAATGATTAACTGAGGACTCACATTGATCCACACAGTGATCTACGCAGCTAATATATCAAAAACAAAACCCAGAGAATCCCAGTGCTGAGTCTTCGTGCTACAAGGCTGGGATCTAAAATGCAAGCGGTTGTCAAAAGCTTCATTTTTGCCCTTTTGGTTTGTTCATTCACCTCGGCGCAAGGTAATGTGCTTATAAAAGCAGTTTACTCTTTTTGCCACATTATAGAATTACCTCTGTGGACCTTTCAAATTCTTACTGACTTCAAATGTTGTCATTGTTGCATTGATAACTTTGTTTGCCCATCGTATATAACTGCATAGTTTAGGAGCATGTTTATAAAATGTTTTAGTTCTTGCATACATAAATTAGGAAGAAATACTAGGTCCTGTGCAATCTGACATGGGTTGCTAGTATTCTTTATGATACGAATGTAATCTTTTGTGAACGTGTGAGCCTGCGGAATTTTGTCACAATGTATTTTCATAAACTGAGCATGAGTCACATTTCTTTCAGAAGCCGTTTCAAATTTTAAATCATTTAGCTTTAATGAGAGTTTCCAGATTTACATTTAATTTCTGAAACTACTTTATGAAGATCTTATCATCATTAAATGAAATGAAATTGAAGTGAAAGAATCTTGCTTTGACAACATTTTCCCACATGGTTAATATTCTGTAGTTGTCAAAAGGCAGTAAGTTTCCTTTATGCTTTCCAGAATGTTCCCGGAAAGAGATCACCTTTGCAAATATTCAAAAAACTGGCCTCGCCGCGAAGTATGATTCCGGAGATACAGTGAGAGTGAACTGTGAGACAGGCTACGTTGGATTCCTTAAACTTACTTGTGACAAGGGTGTATGGACAAAAGACGCCGGGAGAGAGTGCAAAAGTAAGCATACTGTTGTCAGGATACTTCTGTTACAAATAGTGTGATGTGACTCAAGATAGAGAATTCATATTGCGTATGAAATTAATTTCCACAGAAAGGCCGTGTGGTCACCCAGGAGACACGCCAAATGGAGACTTTAAACTCATAGGAGACACGGAGTTTGTGTTTGGAGTTACAGTGGAATACACTTGCAGACCAGGGTAAGAGTCTGTGTTGTAAAATAAAGCAGTCACCTTTCTTTCCTTATTTTCTTTCTTTATTTTTTATTATTTATAGGAGAAATAGTCACCAACATTGTTAAAATGGTAGGCTTAGTCCGCATGATGACAGCGCAACAACTAATAAAGCCTTGCCAAAAAAAAAATCTAGAAAAAGATTACATTTCTGGACCTAAAATCATCTGTCATTACAGTGTTACTGATGAAATTAGCTTCCTTGCTTGTTGTAGCACTGAAGTACTTTAACTTTGCCATGCCATTTACAGTGAGACAACCCGCATTATTTGATTTCCAGATAGTGTTTGAAAAATTTGTGAATGTGCATAAATGCCTGTGCGTCAGTCATCAATACTGCTATTAGGTCACACCTATCAGGCCTTACTAGGACTTTGATCTTAAGGTTCTGCCCACACTGTCATCTCGGTCACCCAAAGAAAACACAAAGGCAAAGAAAACATAGGTGCTTTACCTAACTTCTACATGATGAAGCCACGGCAGCTTGAAAAGGATTTCACTGCTGTACATTATCAAAATCCTATTCGTCTGTCCTTTCCACTTTGAAAATCATACAAATTATCTCATTACCACCTCTGTCTGTTTCTTATCATACAAGGTACCCGCAAAAGTAGATTTGGGTTCTGTGAAGGTTGCGTGGTGGTGACATGGAGTCTCATGAAGTTTTCATTTGGTTTTACTCGTTTGGGTTAGTAAAGCAAGCTATTTTAGTTACCGAGTGATTTTTTTTAAAATGGCGGCTATTGGTTTTTAGTGATGACGTGGGACACTTCTGTGATAGTTTTTGACATTTAATGGTTTGCACTGTTTCCAGCTTCGCCCATGCGTCTTCGTTCAGTACGCTTGGCACTCCAGAAAAAAGGGTTACCAAATCCAGCAAATCCTTCTCAGGAATCGTATGGTTCCCTTGCCAGTAGAAATGAGGGAACAAAAAAAAAACACGTCATCACAGACTTGTTTGTAACTGTCAGGTGGAACAGCAGCACAGGTTGCACCAGATGGAAAAAAATAGGTTACATTTACTCATATTGCTCTACTTCAGTACATTTTCGCTTTAACAGCACTTTGCGTTATACTTCTTTTACTTGAGTTACTTACAATTAAAGCTCTTTTGTTGGTACTTTAAAGGGCAAAAACAACAAAACTGAACTACCCTAAATATAAATATAAAGGTTTAGGTTAATGTAAACATTTCTAATTGATCAAAAAAAGGAACATTCCCTGCCCAGTTAAAACAGTCCAAATATGGAAAGCAAGCTGCGAAAACAGCCTATTTTGAATTAGCTGTATAATGCGTGGAGGCAGGAAAAAAGAGGTTGGGAGAACTGCAGGGCTGGCAGGACCTATGTGAGGACTGAATACAGTCCTCCATCCCTAGGGACCAGGTCACTACAGGGCAAGCCACCGACCTGGGGCATAAACTGACCCAACTGCAGAGGCCTGTACTAACAGGACGGTTATTTAAGAAAACAGAATTTAAAATATCAAACAGGAAGTCACCCAGTGGCAGATTTAAAAAAATATATACACCTCACGGTTCAGAGACCAGTGCCTAAGCAGATGAGCTACAGAACTAAACCAGGTAAATTGCACGAAAGAGAAGATGAATTTAGGACTTGCTTAGTAGGGCAAAGAAACATATTCTTTTTTTCCTTCTCTCTTCTTCCTTCCCCCAACAAAACCAAAAAGCAACTTAGAAACAAAGGTAGGCTTGAGAGGGTTGAGAATCCCCAAGAAACACACTTAAGGGGGCTTGGTGGGAAGCAGGAAGAACGAGAAAAAACACAGGGTCCTTTACCAGATTACTAGCCAGCCTTGTGTCAGCACTTTACAAAGACAATCCAAGGCTGAGCATTGAGTAACTCGAGAGAGCTCCTGTAGCAGGGCTTGTCCAGGTATTCAGAACTGCCCTGATTGAGAATGGATGGCTGCTCTCTGCCTCCCTCTGGTGGCGGCACGTGGTTTTGTTCCCTTACAAATTGTTTCTGTGAAGCCATACAGCCACCTATTGAGCCTACTTTCAGCTCATTTACAGGCCTTAAAGGCACAGTGACAAAAAACAGGCTGTTTAATTTTATGGAATAAAGAGAAGTTGGACAATATTCAAGTTAAAATAAATTAAGTCATTGTGCTGTTTTTGGTATATCCACAAGTAAATAATTATCTGACATAAATATGTTCACTTTTGTGTCATTATTGTTTATGTCTGGCGAGTTAGCTGCCCTTTGTCCTGCAGTTCAGTTCAGTCAAAACCAAACTTAAACTAAGTTGAACAAGAATAGCTCAGCCAGTATGCATTAAACTCCCTGTACTTACTGAATAATAAGCCTTATTGTATCGCATGTAATATGCCTAGGATTTTAAAAAATCAGTGTTGCATACAGTACATTCAGTAACTCTAGATAGTTAAATTAGCGGTGCATATTTTCTGAGAGCATATTGTTTGTTCTATAAAGTTATCTGCGAGGTGTAATTCACATAATTACAGCACTTTTATAATCTTTGTATATTTTTTCCAGATGTCATTGTTTGTTTTTTTCCCCTGTATTTTTGAAGACCTATTTATCATTTATCTACGGCATTTTGACCTGTGTATCTTGATCTATGATCTAATCTATGTAAATGTGACTTTATCCATTTTGTATATGTTAAGCCTATGAAAATTAATGTTCATGTAGCCATGGTTATAGTCAACACTTCACTTATCCTGTAGACCGCATTTTACTTTCCCTGTCTTTAACAGTTTTCATCCTTTGGATCCCAAATGAGTCAGTAAAATTAGCGTCAAGACAACGAAAACGAATGTAGCTACATAGATCACATTAACAGCAGGCTAATGAAAAAATGTTGCACAAGCAGCCGTTTAAACAGCTGTTGGGGTTAGCTGGCTAGTTAACTCAGCTGGTAATTGGAATGTTAGGTTCAAGGAACTTAAAATCAACCTAAATATACAGCTAAATAATTCTATACCAGTGTTGATCAGAAACAAGCAAACCAAAAAAAACCCCACTTATTAACATCAAGTCTACGATAGTGATAACCAGAAAATACTAGTGACTTCCAAGAATGTAAAGAACAGAAACAATGGATGAATGGAAAATTTAATTGACCAGTCAGAATTGAAGTGATAAAATCATTTAGCCAATCAGATGACTCGAAGGGAAAATTCAGCTAGTTTATTAAAAATGTAAAAATTCAATACCAGGTATGATATAGCTTCCACTGTTCAACACACTGGGAATATGATGAGTTATCAACATTGCATTGAAATACCATGTTAACTAGCTTCATTATAGTGGTATGCATCTGTGTTGGTAAAATATACTTGAGCTTCTACTGAAATTTTCCAAACATTTTCTGCTTCAAGGTATGTAATGGCCAGCAGGGTAAACATTCGTCACTGTCGTAGCCAAGGGTGGGATAATGCTGTCCCTGTCTGTGAAGGTAAAGTAAAAAACAATGTCTCTTTATAATTTTTCTTAAACATTGTAATGTCAGATTGCAAATTTTTGCATGTTGTGTTACTTCTGCATTAATAATTTCATTAACCAGAGTTGATGTAAGCCAGTACTAAATTTAAACTCTCAGGTTCTGATTTACTAAAGGTTTGCATGTGTAGAAAGACCCACTAAAAGGACCTGCCAAAAAAAGTGCAAGCTGATCTGCAAGATGAACTCGGTTCATTCAATCAATAGGTTGATTTACTAAACCTGAAAGTCATTTCGAGAATGGTGATTGCAGGTCACATGCTAATCTCCTGCATGTTTTGCTGCATATGATGTCACTATACTTGCACTGTTTACCCAAATGTTTTTTGCATAAATGATAATCTTGTGTAAAATATGTATAAAAATTAGATATTTAGTTGATATAAAGCCTCTCCAGTGACCATACTTGTTCCTGCCCTGCAAAACGATTGGTTAAAAAAAAAATTAAATTAATTAATTAAATAAATTAATTATTGAAATATGAAAGCTGATGCATAGCTGAGCGAAGCTCAGGCTCAAGAGACAACGAAGAAACTGCCAAACAGAGGGAAATGGAGGAAGCACTGAAGAAATTGCAATTATTATAAGCTTTTAAAAAGTAGCTTAAAGGTTCAGAATGCAAGAAAATATCCTGGAGCAGGGCCTTGCTGTTAAACTTTAAACTGCATAGAAGGGCTATGTGTGTGCTGTTTAAAGAAACTAGAAGAATCTAAAGTAGGAAATCTGAGGGCCATCATTTGGTAACTACCTCAATGGTAATTTTAATTCTGCCAAAAAAAATGTAAAATTCTGGGCAAACGTTTTGAAAATGCGATTTTTCCAAACGAAATTCTAGGCTCTCTGAAAGCCTCTGGACATTTAAAATGAAAACTTTGCTCACAAACCACCAATCATGTAGAGCCCAGCCACATAAATTAAAAAAAAAATCACCACACAAAGCAGAAAAATAATATCTCTAAGCTTTTAGTTTGATCATGAGAAAGGTTCCATAATAGGAATAACCTAAAGAACACCTAAACAGTTATAGTAGTTAGAAATAGTTAGTTGTAGTGTAGGTATAGTATATAGTTTAGCTATAGTTGGTTGTAGTATAGTTATAGTATAACGTTATAGAGTCTGTATGTAGATGTAATAAACGGCACAGAATCAGGCCACTGAAATTTCTTCAACAGTATCTTTAATATCTGATTGATTTGACCTGTTTTTCAGTGGTGAAGTGCCCAGCAATTCAAACCTCTGGAGATTTGATTGCAACAGGCAACACTGAGGAAGCAAGCTTTGATGATGTTATTCACTTTGAGTGTACATCTCGTCAGATGATGCTTGATGGACGAGAAAACATTCATTGCACGGAACGGGGAACTTGGAGTGGATCTGTTCCAAAATGCATAGGTTGATGCTCTGACATTGCTCTCTATTACAAGTCAAAGTCTTTGCCTGATCATTCCAGACTATAACCATTTGAGGTGGTGTGTGTCTGTAAACAGCAACATTCTGCTCAGTTTTAGTATATATGCTAGTATTGTATGTTAGCTAAATTACTTCTAAGCACAAAATTTGGCCTCATTTTATTTGTATAGCCCCCTATAGATACTCTAAAGATGTTCAAATAATTAACAAACTTCACTTGATTCTACACAACATTAGATTTAGAGCTGGGACTAGCACAGAGGTAGGGTTTAAGACAAGGGTTAGGTTAGGATTAGGTTTCGGTTTGAGGTTTGGAATAGTGAGTGAGGTTTAGTTTGCCAAAATTAAGATGAATTTAGTAGATCATTGGTCACAATGAGAGGAAACAAGTATTCAGACACTTTTGTTTTTGTTACTTAATATACTTCAAATTTACACACACTGTCTGTTTACCGACTAATGTGTGCATATGTGTATACACACTAGGGTGGGAATCTCTAGGCACCTCACGATTCGATTCAATTACGATTCAGAGGGCTGCGATGTGATTATAAAACGATTATCGATGCATCTTGATGCTTTTTTTTCTATACAGGATTTATTTTTTTCTAACTGTGTGAGGACTTCGTACTTTTTAAAGCAAAGTATTTGTAATTATCCATAACGAATTTACTTCCAATATTTTAATAAAACAAATCGAAGTGATGTGGCAAGTGATCTAGAAGGCTCTCATTCACTGCTCTTGTTTGGAGCACGTGAGACACTGACTGCCACCCATCTGCAATAAAATGCAGTGCTACGGTGATCCAGAGATCCAGTAGCAATAGATGTCCAAGCAACACGTTACAGCTGTCCTACCCGTTTTCTTTTATATTCTTTTATATTTTTTTGCTTTTGTAACTTCGGTTTTGGTCTCGTTCTAGAGAGTGGGGGGATCGCTGTGTCAGTAAAATATCTTCGAGACTGGACGCTGTATCTCGGCTCCAAAGTGTGCAACATAGCGCGAAAGCCCTGGTTCTCAACGACTGAGAACTGGCATGCAGACTGCAGGTCACATAGCAACTGTTCTGTTCTACTTTTCTGGCAGAGATGGAAGGAAAGCAGCTATAGATAAAGCTTAAAGCAGAGCAAAGTAAGTCTGCATTTTCGTTTATATTGTTTAGCCTATACTAGGACATTATCACATACTGAGACATATTGAACATTAAATGATGTGGCTCCCAATGTGGTTTGACTTTTGTTGATAGGACAAAATGGCTCTTCTTAACATTTGGGTTGTGACTCCTGACCTGACCTAGCTTTTAATACAGAGGGTGCCGGTAGGATTTCTCACTCATCCATGGGACACACCTCATAATTATTGAGTTCAGATGTTTCAGTCACACCCATTGCTAACAGGTGGATAAAATTAAGCACAGCCTTGCAGTCTCGATAGCTAAACACTGGCAGTAGAATGGGTCGTATTGATGAGTTCAATGACTTTAAACGTGGCACTGTCATAGGATGCCACCTCTGTCACTGGTCAGTTTGTGAAATTTCTGGAAACACATTCTGTGGAGTGACGAATCACGCTTCTTTATCTGACAGTCTGATGGACGAGTCTGGGTTTGGTGAATGCCAGGAGAACGTTACCTGCCTGACTGCACTGTGCCAATTGTAAAGTTTGGTGGAGAAAGGATGATGCTATGGAGTTGTTTTTCAGGGGTTGGCCAAGACCCCTTAGTTCAAGTGAAGGAAAATATTATTGCTTCAGCAGACCAGGACATTTTGCACAACTATACCCTGCCAACTTTGTGGGAACAGTTTGGGGAAGACCCTTTTCGGTTCCAGCATGACTGAGCCCCAGCGCACAAAGCAAGGTTCATAAAGGCATGATTGCGTGAGTTTGGTGTGGAAGAACTTGACTGGCCCTCACAGAGCCCTGACCTCAACCCCATCAAACACCTTTGGGATGAACTAAAACAGAGATTGTGAACCATGCCCTCTCATCCAACATCAGTGTCTGACCTCACAAATACTCTTGATGAATGGGCAAAAATTCCCACAGACACTCTTCCCAGAAGAGCAGAAGCTGTTATAGCTACAAAGAGGAAACCACTCCTTTGTAGCCTATTGATATACACTATATTACCAAAAGGATTTGCTCGTCACACTCATATGAACTTGAGTGACATCCTATTCTTAATCCACAGGGTTTAATATGATGTCGGCCCACGCTTTGCAGCTATAACAGCTTCAGGTCTTCTGGGGAGGCTTTCCACAAGGTTTAGGAGTGTGTTTATGGGAATTTTTGACCGTTCTTCTAGAAGCGCATTTGTGAAGTCAGACACTGATGTTGAACGAGAAGGCCTGGCTCGCAGGCTCCGCAATAATTCATCCCAAAGGTGTTCTATCAGGTTGAGGTCAGGACTCTGTGCAGGCCAGTCAAGTTCTTCCATACCAAACTCGCTCATCCATGTCTTTATGGACATTGCTTTGTGCACTGAGGTGCAGTCATGTTGGAACAGGAAAGGGCCATCCCCAAACTGTTCCCACAAAGTTGGGAGCATGAAATTGTCCAAAATCTCTTCGTATGCTAAAGCATTAAGAGTTCCTTTCACTGGAACTAAGGGGCCAAGCTCAACTCCTGAAAAAACAACAACACACCGTAATCCCCCCCTCCACCAAACTTTACACTTGGCACAATGCAGTCAGACAAGTACCGTTCTCCTGGCAACCACCAAACCCAGACTCGTCCATCAGATTGCCTGACGGAGAACACGTCTCCACTTCTGTAGAGTCCAGTGGTGGCGTGCTTTACACCACTGCATTCGACGCTTTCATTGCGCTTGGTGATGTAAGGCTTTGATGCAGCTGCTCGGCCATGGAAACTCATTCCATGAAGCTCTCTATGCGCTGTTCTTGAGCTAATCTGAAGGCCACATGAAGTTTGGGGGTCTGTAGTGATTGGCTCTGCAGAAAGTTGGCGACCTCTGCGCACCATGCGCCTCAGCATCCGCTGACCCCGCTCTGTCATTTTACGTGGCCTACCACCTTGTGGCTGAGTTGCTGTCATTCCCAATCACTTCTACTTTGTTATCATACCACTGACAGTTGACTGTGGAATATTTAGTAGTGAGGAAATTTCACGACTGGAAAAATGCACAGGTGGCATCCTATCATGGTACCACGCTGGAATTCACTGAGCTCCTGAGAGCGACCCATTCTTTCACGAATGTTTGTAGAAGCAGTCTGCATGCCTAGGTGATTGGTTTTATACATGTGGCAATGGAAGTGAATGAAACACCTGAATTCAATGATTTGGATGGGTGAGTGAATACTTTTGGCAATATAGTGTAGCATGGGATATCAGGAAAGCTCCTTTAGGTGTAATGTGTAGGTGTCCCAATACTTTTATCTTCTCTTCTGGGAAGGCTTTCTACAAGATTTTGGAGTGTCTGTGGGAATTTTTGCCCATTTTACATCACTCCCCCATCCCCCGCATATATACATATACATGTATATAAATATATGTATAGGATATAATGTGCATAAATTTAAAGTGGATATATTTATCAGAAATATATTAATAACAAAAACAAAAGCATTTGAAAACTTGATTACCCTCACTGTAAGTGTAAATAAAAGGCATCTACAAACTATATACAGGGGGCTATCATAATAAAGTGTTACCCAAGTTATATTATGATTCCATTTAACTCTGCAAGTGTTGAAGTCTATAAAATGCAGGTATCAGTGAGCTTATCTCCTCATCTCCACTTAACCTGCATTTTATAGACTGATACCTGCATTTTATAGACTTCAACACTTGCGGGTATCAGTCAGCTTATCTCCTCATCTCCACTTAACTTGCAGCATTTATTTAACTTATGCTTGTGAGATGCTAATTCTGGATTAGGGTGAAATCAAATTCATGCATAATTTTCTCACAGAAATAAGATGTAAGCTGCCTACAATACCACATGCGATTATTAATGACGCCAAGGAGGAATACAAAGAGAATGAACAGTTAAAATATTCCTGTGAAAAAAAATACAGGCCCAGACATGGAACCCCAAAGTGTCTCAGAAATGGCTGGAGTATAACACCAGAATGTGAAGGTAAAACCCCTCCATTTGATTTCTTTCTATAGTACAATTAATGAAAGATGAAACACAGCCGTACATTTATTCTGAACATATGTGAGCAGTTTATAACTTATTACAGTACCAGCGTTCATCCGCAATCTTTTAGTAACAAAGTATGTTTATCATTAGTCTTTGCATCTTTATAACTAGTCTCTGTGAATCTCCCTGTTATTTATCCTTGTGAGATCAGCTCCTCTCTGTTTTGTCTCATTTTGTCTACCACAGAAATTAATTGTCTGCTTGGGCCGCCCACACCTGGAACAAGCACAAGCCCAAAAGGGAAGAATGTATTCAGGGTTGGAGAGAGTGTAGAGATCACCTGCTCAGATAGTCACTGGTTGTATGGAACAAGAGAGATCAAACGAAACATTATATGCAAAGAAAGTGGTGAATGGGAACACTCGCCTGTGTGTGAGGGTAAAGAATACACAAATATAAAAACTGCAAAAACATTCTTGGTGCTTCAGTTATAACATACAGTAATTAACATCTAAACATCTTTGCAGAAATTACTTGTGATATTCCCTATGGCCAGCATGTGGACAGTCCTCACTACTACTTTAGTAGGGACAGAAGATTGGGGGTCGAAAAATCATACTGGTGTGAAAGTGGGTATCGGGCAGGAGCTAGAACTGCCACGTGTACAGAGAAAGGCTGGCTTCCAAACCCACTGTGCACTGGTAAGTCCCTGTCTGTGGACGCGTGTGGTTAATTAGCTTCCTTATTTCAAAGCAGAGAAGTATTTAAAAAGTCATGCCTGTTTTTCAGAGATTGTGTGTCCTGAGCCAACAATTGAAAACGCAAGACTGCCAGAGAATCCACAACGTCCTTATAAACCAGGTGCACGTATTCGGTACCAGTGTCTACATGGATCTAGCACGTTTGAAATCACCTGTGGTTGGCAGGGAGAATGGAACAATATACGTCCCTGCCCTGGCAAGTATCCATTTGTTAATCATTTGGAGAGACTAACAGCCAAATATTCTGACCAAAGATGAACAAAGTGATCACAGCAATATCAGCATCTTTGGCTACTCTGTGTGGTCATGCACTGTTTTTTACTTGTGTTAATCAGTTATTTAGTATCATGAATCACCGATTCATTCTGTCTGTCGCGATTGCCAATGATTTAAATGTCAGAAAACACACTGTCCACGGCTTTCAGACGGACTACATTAAGAACTTTGATTTCTTTTAGCATGTTTTCAATGTCCATATCAGTTTGTTGTGCTGCTTCAGAACATCCTGTAGCAGCACAAGGCAGCACTGTTTTTATTTTTCTCTGTAGTTGTGCTTTTAAAAGCTGTGCTGCATCCTTCTCTCACAAAACATGAACGAGGGTTAACTGATTTTGACGCTGTGCTTAGGTCATGCTTAAAAAAAAGACAAAGCCTATTATTGTTATTAATCATCTAATAATAATAATAATAATGATGATGATAATGATAATAATAATAATAAGCTATAGTTATAGTAAAGGAAAGCTAAAATTGGCTGACTTTGTATGGTAAACTTCAGCCAATTCAGAGTCAGATTTTTGCAGATGAGAAAACATGTCAAGTTTTAAAAAAACAAACACGCATATTAATGCCATCTTAAACTTGTGTACCATGACACTGCCTAAAACGTTTCATCTGAGCCAGCTAAATTTTCTGTGTTTTACGGATGTGTTTAAAAGCAGGCTGACCAATCAGAGCTTGCAGTCCAAACAAATATGCATCTTGATGGTGGCAGAACTGCTAATCTTGATTGGAGCCAAGCACGAAAGCTTCTACCATAAGAAACATAAGCAATGTGCTGACTAAAAAAATGTTTTTTTTAGAGTTTAAATAAAATGCATTGTGGATCACAGCTGAAAGGCTAGCAAATGACTGTGAGTACATTAGTAAAACATAGAAACTGTTCATAGATGCTTTATCGTTTTTCTAGGTGTGTCCTGGTCTGTTCCTGCCCGGTCCTTTTGCAGAATATTTCTTCCCAGTGTGTGTCTTTATATTACAATACATAATATTATACAACAGTTAGTTCCGGCCACACAAGCTGATTGGTTGAGAAGCGTTCAAGCTGTGCTGTTATTTCGCCATAACATCACGTTTTATTCACAAACACTGTATCACTCCGCTGAGACGCCGTTGCTAAGCAACGACTTTGACAGCTGTAAGAGACGCGCAAGCCATTTGAATGTTTTTACTTCTTACTTTGCCACAACCAGAAAAAGGACACTTTTAAGATCACATTTGACTGACAGCTGATTTGGTCAGACGCTGAAGATGAGACTACACTAAATTCCCAAACTGTCATCACCAGCAGCTTTTCAGTCAGCAGCTGTGACAGAAGAACAGCTAAACAACCTGGAATTAGTCAGAAATGAACCAAATACCATTCACCAAACAAAATGGACTGTAAGATGCTTTACAGACTGGCTGGAACAAAACAACATTAATATTGATCTAACAAAAAAAACAACACTGAGCTAAACTTGATATTGCAGCAGTTTTATGGCTCAGTCCGTACTTCAAAAGGTGAGGCTTACAGCAGACTGCAGCGAGTGAGCGGAGCTCATTACTCTGACGTAGCAACAAGCTGCTTGTTAAGGAACTATTAGCGGAAATTTAGCAGAAAGAACTGCTAACATTAAAACATACTAAATGCCACGTTCACGGCTCAGTTTATTTATTTCTTACTTTGTTTATTCAACGGTTGTATAAAAGCAATAGAACACTCGAGGTCGTGTGTTATCGCAAAAAAAAAAAATATGGTGAAGGAGGGGCATGTGTTGTGCAACCCCACACATTTTAATGCCAAAAAACGTTCATGACACTTGAACATGTATAAATGTAATTGAATCTTAAACCTGAAAATATGTGCATCATTAGTCATTACATACACCTAGGGAATTAAAACAGTTGTGTCTGTTGATAAAGGACTCTACAGTGCTCTGTATGTAATGTAGCTTCTTAAAATGGGAGAACAAAAGTAGAGAAGGTCAGATTATTTTGTTCTGTTTCTTTACATTGGGCTTTCTTGCCTTTAAAAAATTTCATGTTCACTTTCTTCTCACATACATTCATACATCATTTTGTTATTAAATGAGGCTAAATTTTAAAAGTCATTTTTAAGTCTCTGACTACATAAATAACTTGCATTTAACTACTACTACTATTGTCAGAGAAAGGCAAAGAGAAATAACTGCCCACATCCTGCCCACTGTACTGCACATTACATTACAACTGCTCAGTCTGATGTATTTGTTCTTCTTATTGTTGTAATCATAATGCCTTTACATGTTATGGCCAGCTACCTGTCCAAAACCTGATATGGTGATAACCAGTGGCACCATTATTGAACCTCAAAAGGTCAAGAATGTCTACACAAAAGGATATACTGTGGAATATAAATGTTCTGAAGGATTCGTGTTTGAGAAGGAAGGCGTTGCCCGCTGTACTGGGAGGGAGTGGACATACCCAAAATGTATACGTAAGTATATTTTAGACTGTATATTATGGCAGTTTATTTGTTTTTGTATTATTATTAATAGTGTTGTTTGATAGTGTACTGCACTAGTGTAATAGTGTTGTGTTTCTTGAGTGCTGTTTTTAATTTCACTGCCATTTCATGGGAGCATCATTCAGTAGTTGACCTTTTCCACTACTGGTGCAGTACTGGCTTTTCTAAGTGTACAGGTGTACAGAGCAGATGCTGCTTGATAATTACACCTGAGATTAAACACTAAAAAGAAGCCTGTAATTTATGTTTAATCTCCATCATTGCACTAGTTCAGTAGCAAAACAGACAAGTAGCAAATGGGCAGTATAAAGAGACAGAAGCCTGACATCACCACAGGAAAACTGCACTGCAAAATGTAAATAAAAAAGAATAGAGTAAAAAATGGAAGCACATTGCAGTCCAGAAAATGTAATGTTTATTTTCTTAGACAATCAGCTCTGAGTACATTTCTGTGTTGCTTGGAACAGACTAAATAAAGTAATGATAATAAACAGCTACTGTTTATGGAAAGGAACAGTTTGGCAAAAAATCAAATGTACGCAGTTTCCCACTTACCCCACATCAACATTATTAGTTATTAATAAGGAGAAAGAACTGAAATCGAAAACTTAATCTGAGGCGTCCATACGTCTGTGTGACATGCATGCATGTGAATGGGAGTTGGATTTCAGCACAACACCTGGACTGGGCTACAGCAGTTTTGCATACGTTTGTGTGTGAAGTCTTGGTTAAGCTTTTAATTAACAGAGTTTCACGAAATTCGGTTGCACCACCATCAATCCTTAGATCTAGTAACATCAGTCCACAGTGACAAATGCTGAACACTGTTGCTTTAACATGACAATAAAGTTCAGAATCATTCAGTAAAGATGTTGCCATGGAAACACAGATGGCACTTACTTGCACTAACTTTTTGCAATCCATGGAAAAAATCTATGTAGTACGGAAAAGCAAATTGTGTGTTTTCAGAGTTTATTTGAAAAGAAATTAATACATATATCAAGTCTGCCAATTGAAAGCTGTATGGAAAAAAAATCCATAAAAACTAAACGGGCAAAAAAATTACCAGTACATTTTCCATTACATTAGACAATTTCGTCATTCCTTTGTGTTAAATTAAAGAACTTATTCTGTGTGTATACAGGCCAATTCTTTCTCTTCATATACAGAACATTCCATAGGGGTGTCATCAGATGTTTATGTACAGGAGGGCTAAGCCTGTACTGGGGGGGCTGGGGGCATGGTCCTCCAGGAGAATATAGTCCCAAAATGTCTGTTCATCATGAACTTTTAGAGGAACAACAACCAGAAAATTTACCAAAAAATGGCTATTTGGTCCTTGTGGTTTGTATTAGGCACAACGTTAGTATTAAATACTAAAATATAAAAAAAAAAAATACTAAAACTTAAATACCATACTGACATGCCAAAAGTCATGGGACAGGATCTATTATCATGTAGGACCCCCTCTAGCCCGGCTAATGGCCCAATGGCAAGGTGCATTATCCTTCTGGAATATCCTGTCACTGTTTGGGAACATGAACATGGAACCGTTACTCATCAGACCACACCACATGTTGGCAGTCCTCTAGGAGTCAGTTAGCAACTTTATGAGCCCAGGTGAGGCGCTGTGTCCGTGTCATGGTGTTAACAGAGGAACTCTTGTGGATCTTCTGCTCCCATATCAGTGGAAGCTAAGGCACGCTGCACTGACCTGTGGGATATGCATGTGGGGCCTCCTGCATTGAATGTGGATGTGATTTTTTTGCCAGACTCGCCTGTCTGTTTGCACAGACAGTTCTAGCCAGACGCCACCGGTCACAATCATTAAGCATCTGTGGGCGGCCACTGCATCCTCTGTGGGTGGTCATGCCTTTTATGATGTATTCCCAGTACACACGTGACACTGTGGATCGAGGAATGTTATATGCCCACACAACTTCAGAAATGGAATCTCCCATCCGCCTGGCACCCACTATCATGCCTCATTCAAACTCCGATAATTCACGTCACCTTGCCATGAGCATGTTAGCCAGTGTTCAGCTTCACTCACAAGATAACACTTCAAAACTTGTAAAACAATGTAGGCGTTCCCAAGCCGTCCCCTGAGGTAACGCCACTCCTTAATCAATTTACATACTGCTATCCCATGACTTTTGGCATGTCAGTGTATATCTATCAGGTACAGATCAAGCAAAGGTTCTGACGTCAAGCACTGCTTAGATAAGCTGCAATGTCATTAAAGTGGTAGAGCCCTAAAACTGTCTTGGCTGATGAATTACATCTGGGGTTAGTGGAAAAAGGTGCAAATTTGATTTTTTGCTGAACCATTTCTTAGTTGGTTATATGTATATGTAAGTTGGTGGTGTCAGAATGTGCTTGAAGCTGACTGGTGCACAGAGAGTCTGAAATAGCAGCATAATCTTGAGAGATTAATAGAAAATATTCAGTTTTATTTGTGTGTCCTGTGTTTGGATTCCAGCTAAACCGAACGTCTGTGCTTCATTCCGTTTGGAAAATGGACTCACACATTATTTCACAAAGGACACAGATTCTCCCAGACCGTCTCAGGGTATTTACTACTCATGTGACGCAGATTATAAAACATTTGAATACACATGGTGGGGAGAAACAAGCTGCAGTCCGGATGCTTTGGACTACACACCACGGTGTATACGTGAGTCTATTTTCCTTGCTTTTTTCATAGCACCACATTTACAGCACAGAAGGGAATGGCTGATTTGGGGTTTCATGTCTTTTTGGTCTCTGTTAACAGACAAAAATAAGTGTGGCCGTATTCCCAACATTCCACATGGAAAACTAGCTTATGACCAACATCATCAAAGGGATTTGATTAATGTCTATTGTGATTTTGGCTTCAAAGCAAACACATCTTTCGTCACATGTAAAAACGGACAGTGGACGACCACGAAATGTGAACGTAAGTTACATTTGATTATGACTTCAGTCCATTAAATCACCTGAGACCTGATGCGATGGCAGAAAAATTAATAATAATCAAATTTTGACATAGACAGTGGGTCTGCAGGCATGTAGGAACAGTAATCACTGAACTGTTTGTAGATTTTACAGAGTTTGAGAAGAATCTAAATCACAGTCTGTCAACTCATTAAAAGGTCACAATTCATGTTGGCTTAAGTATCCAACTTTACTTCTTACAATTTATTTTAATGTTGTTTGACCTTTTTCCATAGAATATTCAAATGAACTCAAACTTCACTTGAGACTCCTCTATTAATAGAATAAAATGGAGTTGGAGTTTTTCTTGAACTTAGAAAATCCACAGCTAATGTTAAATTGCTTAATAAACAAGTATTGTGTTGTCTTTCACACTGCTTTCACCACAAAGTAACCGTTTCTCAAAAAATGCATTTTTAGCCCTAACAGGTGAAAACTATGGTGCTCCTCCACAAGTAGAAAATGCAGTCATCACTGAATACACTCAAGAGCCACACCAAACAATAGTGAAATTTGAATGTCGAGAACATTTTGAACTAAAGGGGAGACAGACAGTTTACTACATAAACAAACACTGGGATAAAACACCTACATGTGAATGTGAGTACATGTATTTATGATGATGATGATGATGATGATTATTATTATTATTATTATGATTATTATTATTATTATTATTATCATTATTATTATTACAAAACCAAAAAAGGATCAGTTTCATTTGATTTTTTTATCGTATCTTTTTAATCTTAATGTCTTTATATGCTAGTGTCAAAATCTGCATGTGGAAAACCTGAAACGAAGATAACCCGTGGCATCATTAAAGATTCTGAAGAGATCATGGACTACTACACAGAAGGAGATACTGTGGAATATAAATGTTTTGAGGGATTCATGTTTGAGGATGAAACGTCCGCACGCTGTACTGACGGGAACTGGACTTACCCAAAATGTATACGTAAGTACATTTTAGACAGAATATTGTGACTCAATGTTTTTTTTCATTCCTAATAGTAGTGCTGTGTGTTAGTACTGTGTTTGTTGTGTTTATTGTGTGCTGTTTCACTGCCTCTTCATGGTGGCATCATTCTGTAGCTGCCTTTTCCACTGTTTAAGCTTTATGCATTAAGTTTAAACTTGCGTGTGCAGGGAGAGAGGTACATATGACTTGCATAAAACACTGGTACCTGTCTGTGTAGCTGTGCAGCTAAACATGCTGTGTTTAGGCTGGAGAAAACAATACAATCCTATGGAAATTATTTAGCTAGCTGACATGGAACCAAAAAAGACCACTCGATTAACTTCTTAAGGTACTGTTACCTAAAGGCACGTTCAAAATAACCTCAGAGAATCGTTTTTGGTCTTAGAATTGCTGTTACATTACTTTGCTAGTCTGTCTGTCCAACAGGGTTATACAACAAATTTAGTAGCAAGGAAGCAAACAGAGGAGGCCATTTATAAACATGATTTTTTAGTAAAAACCAAACTGCCTCAGTCATTCAAAAGCAAAAGGAAATCTTTTGTTCACTGTGGGTTAAATCAGTAGATGAGCTAATGGTAGTGCTAACAGTTTAATGTTAGATGAGGGGCAGACGTCGCCTTAAGCACAAGGTACATTAGTTCCTGCCAGTGGATCATGTGAAACATGTTGGCTTAAGATAAGATAAGATAATCTTTTATTAGCCCCACAACGGGGAAATTCTCAGTATAACAGCAGCAAAGGGAGAACAAGACAGTTAAGAAAAAGAAAAGAAGTAACAAGAAGAGAATTAACAAGCAAGTAATTAACTTTGTTAATTACTTAACAAGGTTTTTATAGTTTGTTACTTGTTACTATATAGACAATATATATAAAATACTAAAATGAATGAATTCACAGTGTATGTTCTGGAGGTGTGTGAGGTCTAATGTGGGGCGGAGGAGGTCCTACTGGGAGCAGTGCTGGTTGTACAGTCTAACAGCAGCAGGAAGGAAGGACCTGCGATAGCGCTCCTTCACACACTTGAGGTGAAGCAGCCTGTCACAGAAGGACCTGCCCAGTGCTGCCAGAGTGTCATGCATGGGGTGGGAGCTGTTCTCCAGCATGGATGCTAGTCTGGCTAACATCCTCCTGTCTCCCACCATCTGCACTGGGTCTAGGGGGCTTCGAAGGACAGAGCTGGCCCTCTTAATGAGTCTGTCAAGCCTCTTCCTGTCCACAGTTGAGATGCTGCTGCCCCAGCAGACCACTCCATGAAAGATGGCTGATGCCACAACAGTGTTGAAGAAGGTTCTCAGGAGTGCCCTCTGCACTCCAAATGACCTCAGACTCCTAAGCAGGTAGAGTCTACTCTGGCCTTTCCTATAAAGTGCACTAGTGTTCTCTGACCAGTCCAGTCTATTGTTGAGGTGAAAACCCAGGTACTTATAAGAGTCCACTCTCTCAGTGTCCCTTCCCTGGATGTTCACTGCTGGAGGGAGGTGACTGCGTCTGCGAAAATCCACCACCATCTCTTTCGCTTTCCCTGCGTTGATCAGGAGGTGGTTCCTCAGATACCAGTCCACAAGTCCTGGGTCAGTTCTCTGTACTCTCTGTTGTCCTCATCTGTAATGAGTTTGATAATCCTGTGCCCTCACATACTGTGGTCAGTTGGTCAGGTAGTCCAGATTCCAATTTGATAGGTGGTGATCCACCCCTGTGTTCTCCAGCTTGTCCCTCAGGAGCCCAGGCTGTATAATGTTAAAAGCACTGGAGAAATCAAAGAACATGATTCTCTCAGTGCTCCCAGGCTTCTCCAGGTGAGAAAGAGCTCTGTGAAGCAGGTAGATGACAGCATCATCCACTCCAATGCCAGGTTGATAGGCAAACTGGAGTGGGTCCATAGATGAGCTGACCAGAGGGCAGAGATGCACAAGACCAGCCTCTCTAGTGTTTTCATCAGGTGCGATGTCAGTGCCACTGGCCTGTAGCTGCTGAGGTTCTTTGGTCGCTGTGTCTTTGGCACTGGTACCAAATAAGATGTTTTCCATAGTTGTGGTTCCCTCCCGAGCTGACGCTGATGCCATCTGGACCCGCAGCTTTCCTCATTTTGATCTTTCTGAGCTCCTTTCTCACCTGGGCTGTTGTAAGGCACAGATTGGAGCAGGGGGGCTGGGTGCTGGAGTGTGCGGGTAGGGGGGTTGAGCTGGCAGCAGAGTGACCAGTGGTGGGTGGCTGTGAGGTGAGAGTTGTGAAGAGGGGGGTAGTTGTGGGAGAGGGGGCAGTGCAGTGCCCTGAGAGTCCAGAAGAGGTGGTTTGCAGCAGGGGTAATTGTGCAGGGGGGTGGTGTGTGATCAAATCTATTGAGAAATAGATCGTTCACCCGCTTTTGGTCTCCTACTGCCAGGGGGTCAGGTTTCTTGTGCGCAGAGTTTGTTTTTAGGCTTTTCCAGACCCCACTGATGTTGTTATTCTGCAGCTGTTCCTCCATCTTCTTTCTGTAGCTGGCTTTTCCCACCCTGATTTTCCTTCTCAGTTTCCTCTGCACAGCTCTCAGTTCCTCCTTGTCACCTGATCTAAAGGCCCTCTTTTTCTGCTTTGTAGTAACGTTAGCAGGAGGACAGAAGACACTGAGCTGCTAGTTTATTAAATACGCCTGCCTTGTACGTCTGTTGGCCATTTTATCTTCTACACAAACTAAATGCTGACGTAAACAACATGTTGCTATGGTGAATACTAGGTTGCTATGCTCAATGCAGTGAAGCAACTACCGTAGCGTTAAATAAACGTTTGTACAGTGTCAGTGTTTTTAGCATTCATTTTTACCATTTACACTTCTGTGTGTGAAAAGTTCTCAACTTTTGACAATGTCAACTATTTTTTTTAAGCCACCACAACCCTGGCTCTTCCAAATGTACAGAGTGCTTCTTCATACTGATATTGATGATCATAAGTGCAGTAATGACATCTGAGATTAAACACTGAAAAGAAGATGTGCAGGACCCTGCAATTTATATTAAATCCTAAAGGTCCATCGCTGCCCCAGCTTATTGTTTTTTATTTTGTTTTGTTTTGTTGTTTTTTTTTTTGGTTAAAATTATATATAGTACTGTGCAAAAGTCCACCCTTTATTTATTTCAGAAAGCATGTATTTAACAGAAAATGACACAAAAGCCTCAACAACTAAATATAAATACAGCTTTATTAGAATTTAATGTGCCCACCAGCTACAGCTTCCTTTCTTTTCAGGAGACTTGCTTTCAGTTTCTCAAAGAAATCTGCAGGGGTGTTTTCCAGTTTCTTTTAAAGACCCTCGACGTTCAGTCTTGAAGTGCAGAAGTTGGTTGCATTTTCTGCATGATTCAGGTTATCCCAAAAACATTCAATGATGTTGAATGCCTGGTCTCTGGAAGAGACATGGAAGTCTGATCTCTGGGGTGACTACATTCGACTGTATTTACAGTATCACAGTTACAAATGGCTGTGTACCTCCAAAACTGCAACAAAACCATATTTTATGTAGGTAAACCGTGAGAGTTGACGCCTGTGTAATTTTTGACACTGACCATGGCATGGTCCGCAAATCACAGTAAAGGTGGCTTAAATATCTAACTATTCTTCTTACAGTTCATTTCAGTGTTATTGCATGATGATTTTTGTGTGTTTATCAGTATCCATGATGCCTTTATTAATTAAATTACCAACTCCAAATGTTGTTATACATCCCCAAACATTGATCCTCCACTATGCTTAACTGTTGGTTGTAGACAATGAGTTCAACAAATTTTTTATTACAGTGTACATGCTGCTTTCCGTTACTTAAAAAGATCTCAAATTTAGACTCATCACTAGATAAAAGCATACTTCACATTTCAGATGTTTGGTTCTGATGGTTCTAGTGCAAAGTTCTTTTCTCAGTAAGGGCTTCTTGACAGCTACATATCCTTTCAGACTCAGTGTCAAATTGTCCTCTCACAGTGAAAGGGAGGATCTGTGGATTTGTTCATATCTGAAGCAGCTTGATGTTCTCCTCTCTCTCAAAGATGAAAGCTTTAAGTATTATTTATCTGGTGAACAGTTTTGGTGGCCTTGAAGTCCAGTTTTCTCTACATCTTTTACATTTTTTTAATAATGAATAATAATAATCATTTTAATAATGTGTATGAAAAGGAAATGTACAGGGCAGCTAAGGTGAGTTTGGCTGGTTGCTTGTGTGAATGTTAGTGTCTCTTTGAAGGAGAACATAAATTCAGCGATGCCTTTGGGAGCAGCTTGTGTTAGGAGGACACAGCTGCAACTGGTTGTTTTTTTTTTGGTTTTTGGAAGGTAGGAAGAGTTAAAGTGGCACACAAATGCACAAAAGTAAAATGTGGACGAATTAAATACTGTTAGATTTGATGTACTTCGTGTGTGTTTAGGATTATTGAGATCGCAAGAAGCAGAAAATGCAACCAACTTTCAAGACTGAACTTTAGATTTCTTTGAAAAACTGAAAGCAAGTTTCTCAAAAAGAATGGAAGATGTAGTAAGAAGTAATATGTTGGAGGTCTTTTTTTAGGGTAAATACACAAGAAATACATTTGAGTTGCTTAAGAAGAATTACTGTATTCTCGTTTATCCTACATTCACCACCAAGTCTGAAAAAATGATTGCATCTTTGTGCCTAATAGGTGACGTCTGTGGGCCTCCTCCACAAGTAGAAAATGCGGATATCAAATCTTCCGTTAAAGAGCCACGAAAAGAAGTGACATATGAATGTCATGAACATTTTGAACTGAAGGGGAGACGCACAATTTACTGCAGAAGCAGAGGCTGGGATGAAGCACCTACATGTGAATGTAAGTACAAGTACTTATTAAGTATTATTATTATTATTAGTAGAAGTAGTAGCAGTAGTATTGTTATTATTAGGGCTGGGCAATATGACAACAATAATAATAATTATCACAGTATAACTTTCTTTGATATCAATATAAGAAATGTTTGAAATTATAGGCCATTCTTACACTTGTGCATTGTTTTGACAGCCTGGTGACATTTTCAACTGCAAGAAAAGCGACACTGTTGTCATCAAGAAAGGGCGCACTTTCAATTTGACGAGGGAGGGGATGGGAACTAAAATGGGTCGCCAATTATACCTTTATGCTATACTTCACACACACACACACACACACACACACATAAATATATATATATATATATATGTGTGTGTGTGTATATAATATATATAATGTAATGTTCGTGTGAGGGAAACAATGACCAGTGTTTTACAGTTTTGAGAGGCAGTACCTGGCATTTTGCCGAGGCAGACAGACTACTCAAAAACCATGGGATAACATCTGAATCATAGGGTTGTACCTTGATACATCCTTCAAATGTATTGCAGTTCTTCCACCACTCAGACAACTTTGACAGCATAGTGAAATCCAAATGTCTGCTAGCTTGGGTTTGAATACTGTGAAATGCTCTGACATGGATGTGGTAGGAGTGATAGGCGGGGTGATCCATCATTAAAGTGCCGAACCAGCTAATGCTTGTTGGTCGTACTAAGCTGACGCTGTTGAGAAACTAAACAGTTTAGCTGTAATCAAATAGCCCAGTAGTTGTCATCAGACAGCAAAAAAAAATCTGTTTTCTTTTTAAATTTTGAATATTACAAAAATCGTGGGCGAGACTGTTGCTTTAACTAGCTGGTATAAACAGCTGACCTGGGATTTGTCCCCCTATTCCATGACCCATTTGTAAAATGTTCTGTCATGTTCTGGTTTCTTCAACTTTCACTCAGGAGCAAAAATCAGCCTTTAAGCTTGAAAGAAATAACTATTCGGTATTCATCATGATAATTATTGATATCGACTGACATGAATTCTTTTATTTTGATAGCATTTTAGGCCATATCACCCAGGCCTGATCGTTATTATTATTATTATTATTATTATTATTAATGATAATCATAATACTGATAATGCTGTATTTGTCAGCAAATGCTATCATGGTTGAAAAGTGTACACTGCTACTAAGTGCCCCCTGGGCTGCATGTTACAATTGCTCTTAACCACAAAACAACAAGCTATCAGTTTAATTTAATTCATTTGTTCTTCTTATCATTTTAATCATAACGCCTTTACATGCTAGTGTCGCCATCTTCATGTCTAAAACCTGAAGAGATAAGCAGTGGCTCCTTTAAGGATCCTCAGAAGACTAAGGACTACTACACAGAAGGAGATACTGTGGAATATGAATGTTCTGAAGGATTCATGTTTGAGATGGAAAACTCTGCCCGCTGTATTGGGCGGCGTTGGACTTACCCAAAATGTATACGTAAGTACTTTTAATACTGAATATCGAGATTTTATTTATTGTGTGCTGTTTTAAATTTCACTGCCATTTCATGGGGGCATCATTCAGTAGCTGGCCTTTTCCACTACCAACACAACACTGGCTTTTTCAAGTGTACACGAAGACAAACAAAACAAAGGAGTTTATGAAATGGCTGGAATGTACCATCTGTTATGTTCATGCTATCCCATTAGCAGCTGCACTTCCGCTTTCTCCTGAACTCAGGGCTCCATTTGCTCAAACACGAACTGCAAATTTTCTAAAATCTACATAGAAGGTGTGTGACTTTTGGCTCGGGGTGAAAATGCCCAGATCTCATTTACATACCTAAGATTTGGCCCTAGATTTTTTATTTTTTTTTTACAAAGGAAAAAAAAAGTTTAATATCAAATTTCGATATTTTAGAAGACTTTTGAGATCACTGAGAATCTGTTTTACAAGCTTGATCTTACAAACCCAGTTCCAAAAACATTGGGACAAGTAAAATGCAAATAAAAACAGAAAGTAGTGATTTATAAATCTACTTTGACCTGTACTTGAACAAAAACAGTACAGACAAGACATGTTTTACCATATTTCATTAATTTAATCTTTCTGAAATTGATGCCTGCAGCATGTTCCAAAAAAGTTGGGATGGGGCCACAGATAAGCTTGAGCCCAGCAAATTCTACCACATCTCTCGATGTTACTGACATATGACCTCTGCTGTGCATAGTACTGTTTCAACCTGCATTTGTGGACGCAGCGACAAACTCTGTTTATTCGCAGCAGTTTGTCAAAGTATTCCTGCAGCTTCATTTAGTGAATGACATTTAGTCAACACTGCAGACATGAAGCTGAAACTAAACACTGAAAACTGCCAATATTGGTGAGATGGATAACGTCTTATCAGAGCAAAGAAGTACTTTGGCTAGTTGCTTGTGTGAATGTTAATGTCTTTTTAAAGGGGAACATAAAGTCAGCGATGCCTTTGGGAGCAGCTTGTGTTAGGAGGACACAGCTGCTACTGGTTGTTTTTTTGTTGTTGTTTTTGGAAGGTAGGAAGAGTTAAAGTGGCACACAAATGCACAAAAGTAAAATGTGGACGAATTAAATACTGATAGATTTGATGTACTTCGTGTGTGTTTAGGATTATTTAGATCGCAAGAAGCAGAAAATGAAACTAACTTTCAAGGCTGAACTTTAGATTTCTTTGAAAAACCGAAAGCAAGTTTCTCAAAAAGAATGGAAGATGTAATAAGGGCAAAAGTTGGAAGTGATTTTTTAGGGTAAATACATGAGAAATACATTTGAGTTGCTTAAGAAAGAATTATTGTATTTTCATTCATCCTTCGTTTCACCACAAAGTCTGAAAAAATGATTTTGTGCCTAATAGGTGACGTCTGTGGGCCTCCTCCACAACTAGAAAATGCGGATATCAGGTCTTCCATTGAAGAGCCACGAAAAGAAGTGACATATGAATGTCATGAACGTTTTGAACTGAAGGGGAGAGGCACAATTTACTGCAGAAGCAGAGGCTGGGATGAAGCACCTACATGTGAATGTAAGTACAAGTACTTATTATTATTATTATTATTATTATTAGTAGTAGTAGTAGTAGTAGTAGTACTAGTAGTAGTAGTAGTAATAGTAGCATTGTTACTATTAGGGCTGGGCGATAAGACAATAATAATAATAATTAACACAATATATGCAATTTGGGGACTTTTCTAATCTTTGACACTTTTAACTACTGAATAAGTGTGTTTTCTACAGGTTATTACTATTGACTTCACCTTCAATTTCCTGATTTTAAAGGTGCCATATATGCACTTATTCAGTATTTTAAATTGTTTTCTAAAATCTAGAGGTCTGTGACTTTGCTTGGGGTGAAAAATGCCCAGATCTCATTTACAACCCATTTTTTTTTTTTACAAAGGAAAAAAAAGTTTAATAAGAACAATTTTGATATTTTAGAATACTTTTGAGATCAAAAGTTGGGACAGTAGGAAAACAGAAGGCAGTGATTTATGAATCTATTTTGACTTGTACTTGAACAAAAACAGTACAGACAAGATATTACCATATTTATATATACCATATTTCATTAACTTAATCTTTCTGCAGTTGATGCCTGCAACATTTTCCAAAAAGGTTGGCATGGGGGCAACTTAAGACTAGAAATATTGTGAAATGTTCAGACAACATCTTATACAGGTGATGCAATCATGCTTGGATATAAAATGAGCATTGAAGAAAGCCCTAGTCCAGCGTGCTGCTCCGGAGCCACATGCGGCTCTTTTACTTCTCTTTTACAGCTACACAGCAGAATTAGATTTTAGGCAATAATAAATAATCTTCCTCTGCAGTAAAATAAAGCTTTGCTGAGTCTTCTAACACACATTTCTAACACAATTTTTTAATACTAAATGGTTATAACAGCCACAATTAAGGCATAACTGCTTACCAGCCTTTAAACCTGAAGATTGGCATGCAGACTGCTGGTCGCACAGCAACGCAGACAATGATCCTGCCTAGCTAGTAGCTAACCAAAAGGCAAAGAAAAAAAAAAGAACATTAATCATTTAGAAACGAATTGACACTTATTTAAATTTATAAGCAATACAGCTGGTTTTCCTGATATAGTTATTCTGCAGTGAGAAACTGTCAAACACTAAAAGTCAGAAGCTAAAGCCAGCTTTTCGTCCGCCAGCTTCTTTGCTCTGATAAGATGTTATCCATCTCACCAATATTGGCAGTTTTCAGTGTTTAGTTTCAGCTTTATGTCTGCAGTGTTGACTAAATGTCATTCACTAAATGGAGCTGCAGGAATACTTTGACAAACTGCTGCCAATAAACACAGTTCATCGCTGCGTCCACAAATGCAGGTTGAAACAGTACTATGCACAGCAGAGGTCATATGTCAGTAACGTCGAGAGATGTGGTAGAATTTGCTGGGCTCAAGCTTATCTGAAATGGACCTGTACATAGTGGAAACATGTATTATCGTCTGATGAGTCAACGTTTCACATTGTTTATAGAAATAAGTGACATTGTGGTCTCCAGTGTAACGTAAATATGTGACGCTGTTACAAGCTGACATGAGAATCTTGCAGGGTCTGTTTCTCATGTAGAACTGTAAATGTTAAAAGTTGATGCTGAAAAAAGTTGACGCTGTAAAAATGTTTATTCCTTGTTGCAGTTGTCACGTCTCCGTGTTCAGCCTAACAATCTGGTATTTCACTTAGTGAGTGTAGTAGATAAAATAGTCACTGAGAGGTACAAGGTATGTGTACATAATAAACTGGCAGGTCAGTGGATTCTCACTCTCACTTCTGTTATTACCAGGAGCATTGGCTGGACATGTAAAGATCCGCCCAGTTCACTGTAGGATTGTTTTGGGGGTATCCAGACTGAGAATGTTTTAATGAACCTGTACAACTGAATTTTTACTTTTTCAGTGTCATGTTAGGAAGGACACATCAACAAAAGCAGGAATTCAGAATTAATCATTGGTGTGTCTTGTAAATACAGTTAAAGGAAAAGAAGCAAAAAACACTGCTTGTAACAGAAAATATCCCCATCCATTTCCTGATTTCTAGGTTTCCAGTTTTTTAAAAGGTAGGATTTTAGGCATTAGATGTGTTCAAGTCATTACAGCTCAGGTACATGCTCACTCTAAATCACAACAGTCTTAGATTGTGTGTTTTAAAGCACACATCGATTTGATTTTTTTAAGATTGACCCGTTGTTGTTTTCATTGTACCATCTTCAGTAAAGCATGATCAACCTGGTACAACACCTTCCAAGACTACTGGCAAAGGTAAGAAGCTCTTCACAGTTTCGGGCTTAGATTTTGGCCTATATTACAAATTTTTTTCTAGCAAGGTTATTTGTTGCTTTACAGGGTCAGCAGCTCAGATAAGTCCTACACCACTATCCTGTGTTACATTAAATATTTTACACACGTTATTTTGTTGTTTTAAACTGTTTAAATGATGTGTTATTTGGAAGCTGTATCAAACCTAGTGTACAATTCTGCAAGAAAATGTTTCTTAGAAAACTAGTTTTGATATTTTATAAAACCTTTAACATCAGTGTTTTATAAGCTTGTTCTTATGTATTTATGGCTTTATAACAGCATCAGTTCTCCTTATCTAGGATAAATACAAGCTAAGGCAACAAGAATCTGTCAAGAATTTGACATAGGCCAAAAAAACTTGCCATAGCAAATTAAGTTACAACTCTTTTAAATAGCATTTTCATGTGCTTGTCTGTGTGTGTGTGTGTGTGTGTGTGTGTGTGTGTGTGTGTGTGTGTGTGTGTGTGTGTGTGTGTGCGCAAAAACCACACTAGACTGTGGCCGGCCTCCACAGATTGAAGATGCCGTACAGGATTTTAAGGATCGATATGAGCACGGTGAAGAAGCTGCTTATGACTGTCCTGCATTCTACAAAAAGGAAGGTTATCTGACCTGCACACAAGGCAGATGGACAGGAAGTGGGAAGTGCTGGAGTGAGTAGTTGCATTTTATTCTTTTCCATTCTTAAGTTGAATCAAATATAAAGTAACTACGCATTAGCACCTGCAGAAAATGTTATTTATACATATATAGAGATGTACATTAGGGCTGCAGCAACTATCGATAATATCATCAAGTTATACTGATTGGTTAGGTTGAGACATTTGCAAGTCCCATTTATATCATGTGACTGAAAGAGAAATACAAATAGCAGAGACTGCAGCAAAGAATCATGCATGAACCAAAAAATCAAAAACTATAAAACATTTTACTTCAGCGTTGACTGTTCCAAAAGGTTCCAAAGGCAGCGTAACCGTCAGGCGTGAGTAACCCAGAGAATATATACTGCATCCACGGCAGAAGCTAAACCTACTGAGATACTAATACCTTTTACAAACACAGTCAATAGTAAAACACAGCACATCACAGTCTTTTAAAACTGTTAGTCTAAACTGCTCAGCTACACAGTCATCATGGTTGCTAGTAGGCTAATGCACACAGACCAGCTCTATCCTTTTAGTGTTTTTCTCTGGGGTTTTAGCCTCCGTTCCAATGTAAACAGAGCTTAGGGTCACTGAGGTTTTTTAAAACGCTATTTTCAGTAACTGAATGTGGACTAATAAGAAAACATATATATTTGAAAACACTGATTTGTGCGCTGGTTATTGCTCTCTTGCGTGTGATGAGCTGCTTAGGTCTTTGTATCTGACAGGCTGACTGGACTGTGGACTGGACTGTGTGTGTGTGATCTGTAATACTGACGACACAGAAGCTAAAATTTGTAGCAGTGCCCTAAACAAAAGCTCTTTTTAGAAAATATGAATTAGAAGATAGGGTACAAGGTTTATGAATTTTTTTATAAAGGAAGAGTAATTCTTGTATTTTAATTGGCTGATTGAAGCTCACCTTTAAAAAATGATGTCAGTGAGGAAATGTGACTGGTTCAATCAATCAGTCAATCAATCAATCAATCAATAACTAAATAAATAAGCAAGCAAGCAAATACATGGGCATGTAATTAAAAAAAATAATCAAAGAATGCATTTGAAACATTAGACGTCAGAAACTTTAAACATTACAAAAACACTGTTATTTAACCTCTTATGTTTGTGAGTATATTTTGGTTTTTCCATCTGAATTTAAATGCCCAAATCACAAGGCAAATTATGAAGTAGCTGCATGAAATGAATGTAAAGTTTGTTTGTTTTTTAATGTTCACCTCAAATTAACAGAAAATGTGTTTTATTATCATAAACATAATGCCATATGCTTACAATTTACTGCTGAAAGCCAAAAATCTCTCTTTGTATTTTTTCATAAAAATAATTTTTACAGAGCAGATCACTGAAGAGACACCATCTCAGATTCAGTTTCTAGCACAGATTTGTGGAGAATGGGTCAAATTTCAGGAGGAAGAACAAATGTCAGTTCAGCTTCTTGTATTATAAAGTTTTAAATTACATTTCCCATCTATTGGACTGGAAAGACCACAGTTACAGCTCTCATATGAAGTATGAAGTATGAAGTATGAAGTTATGAAGTAAAGAATATGGCGAAGTGCGTTTTTGGACCATCAGTGGTTCCACAGAGTTAAAGAGGTTAATATCATTTAAACACACATTTTCAGGTGTAACCAAACCAAATTATTCTAAACGTTTACTGCTCAGTGATAGAAGCTGATTTCAGCTAATTTATTTCAGCAAATGTCAAAAATGAGTTCATGAATAAAATGGCACCTCAGGGTCACTGCTGTGCTGTGAAGAGCGGTTGAGGACTGTGCAAAGTGACAGATGAGCTACAGTCAGTAATCATGTACACTGTAAACTTAAATCAGAAGACTCATTAATTTTATTATTATTAGACTTATTAAGCGAAGTTACGTAACAGGTTCAGCTTAAATAACCTTAGATTTGTGTCATAGTTTCTTTCGACTTTTCCTGGATCCACACTTACTTGCAGCAAGTAAGGTTGACTGAAGCAGCCTAGTAATTTTAAAAGGGTCTTGCTGAGCTGGCAGCGCTCTACTTTTTGAAGTTCTGCTTAACCTTAAACTTAAGTAAAAAACACATTCCTGTGTAATGAATGGGCATCAACTGAAACAACTTTATTATTTTAAATGGACTGTTTTATACAGTAAATAAACAAACAGCTCAGATAAGACAAGAGTCACAGATTTCTGAGGACTCGACTGGCTTTATGAATCTTTTCCACTGTGTCTGAAAGCTGTTTGAGGACTGATATGTATCATTTATTGCTGGTGAAAAAAATAATGTGATGTAAAATACATTCAAACACAACATTTCAGCATGATGAATTTATTTTGACTTAAAATTAACATTAAGCAAAAGAGAACGAATGAAAATATGGAAACATATAAGTTAATTAACATAAACCAACCAAATCGCTAAGGATGCTGGGAAGCGTTTTGGGAAACAGACTTTTCAGGCAGTAGGACTTATCCGGATGAATTGACTAGCTAGATTTACCTAAGTACCCAAGTTATTACACAAGAAATTGTTACTTGATTTGCATTAGCAAGTTTAACAAAAGTAAACCAGTAAAAATTAAGATAGTACAGCTGTTGTGTTTTACAGTGTACCTATAATGTGCACCTCTATGGTCAGCTGATTAAATGACCAATTACAGAAGAACTACATTAATGTATCTAATAAACAGGCAAGTTGCTGTGTATCCGGGCAGTTGTAGTTGGACGTTAGCCCTTAAGGGAGGTCATAAACAATAATTAGTCACTACAACTAGTCTCTCAATTTATGAAGTAGATCAGTGATTCACAATGCTGGTCCTGATGTTCTTCTTCTCTGCACATTTTAGTGTTTATTCTGCTAACAGCACACTTGATTCCACTCATCGTCTCATTACTGAGCTTCAGGTTAGCTCGAGTATGTTAGAGCTGGGAAAACACAAAAAATGTGCAGTTCAGGGAATCCAGGAATTAAAATGAGGAAGAGGAACTCCAGAGTTACACAAACCACACAGAGCAGAGTGATACACAGAGGAGTAACTGTATTATAATAAGGAGATGCTCTTTTTTCCATCTGTATGTTTTCCATGTCTTAATCTGTACTGTGTACTGTCTCAGTTATATCACTGAACATAAACACAACCATGAATGCACTAATTAAAACATGTTTGTTTGATTTCAGAACCCTGCACTGTGGATCTTAAAGCTATGGATGAACGTAATATACAGCTAAGGCATAAATACACAGAAAAAATCTATTCAACACATGGAGATTTTATTGGGTTTTCTTGTAAAAGCGGATATAGACCAGTGGAAGGCAGTGTTTCCCTCCGTCAGAGCTGCAATAATGGAGAAATTCCCTTGCCTGTTTGTGAATAGTGAGTCACAGGTTCCCTTTAAAGTGCTGTGGGGGGTTAGTTGTGCACTTCACTGCTTAAAGAAGAATCAGTCATTTTAACCTGCTGTCTTAGAAGTTCAGATGTTTGTGTAGTGATAAATAACTGAGGAGGCTGCCATTCAAACTACATTCAGATAAACTTCCATTCAGTTAGCAGAAGAATGGATTGTGTTCAGTCAAACACAATAAATTATGGTGACCAGAGAGCTTCACTCACTTTCATGAGCTAAATAAACCAAAGAAATGATGATTGTAAAACACAGTGTTCGATATAATTAATCGATCCATCTCCTGGGAGATCAAATGAAATGTCATTTACAAACTTAACCTCTTAAGTAGCATTAATGAAGAAGCCCTTTGAACTACTCATAACCTTTGCTTGCTCTATGTTGTTCATTATTTGTTTTCCAGCAAAATTAATAAAGCATTTGACTTGTGACTTGAATTACTGACTGATATTTTTATGCTTAAACTTTTATTTCTCAAATCTCCTCTAGTGATGCTACCATGGTGCATTCGACTAGCCTATAGCTCTCTTCATGTAGTGAGTATCATCAGAGAGAATAATGAGGGGGTGTGGATTATCACACCCCCTCATTATTCGTTTTCAGATGTTGAAACTGAGAAATTTTATTGTTTTTTTGAAAAATATCTGCCCATTTGGAATTTGATGCTAACAACACATTCCAAAAAGTTGGGACGGGGCAACAAAAGGCTGGTAGTGGTTGTGTAGTGCTAAAAAAAACACCTGGTGGTTAATTGGTAACAGATCAGTAACATGATTGGGTATCTCAGAGAGGCTGAGGCTTTCAGAAGTAATGATGAGGGGTTACCACTCTGTGAAAGACTGAGCAGGCAAATAGTGCAACAATTCGAGAATAATGTTTCTCAACGTAAAATAGCAAAGAACCTTTGCTTTTCATCATCTACAGTACATAATGTCATTAAAAAGTTCAAGGAATCTGGAGAAATCTCTGTATGTAAGGAACAAGGCCAAAACACTCAGAAACACTTCTGAAAACCACTGTCTGTGAAAACATCCACAAATGCAAGTTAATACTCTAAAACGCAAAGAAGAAACTGTATATAAACAGGATCCAGAACATGTGTTGTAGGTTACCTTTATACAGTGATGTATGACTGGCTTTCTAATCATTAGACTCATGTATAACCCGAGTTTTGTCTTTAGGTTTACTTTCAGCAATAATTGTACTGATGTAATATTTTATGAATTTGGAAATGATGGACAAATTTAATTATGCACAGAGAAAAACAAATGCATCACTTTTCTATGCCATTTTAAAACAGTAATTTATTTTTTTTTTTTCTTAGCAGTGTGTCAGCATATTAAAATCTCTGGGTCTTACCTGGCCACCACATTTTAAAAGTTCTAGCTATGCCCCTGTTCCCAAACCTGCTTGTGTGATTTTGCCTTCCAGATTAACTATGGTCATGTGTAGTTTTGAGGTTTGAGAGCACTGCATTTTGGGTATTGTAGTGAATTTATGTTATTATCTTGGCGAGTATAATCACTGCTATGATACAAAATGCTGTTTTTTAAACTCATCCTGTTGCAGCTGAGTGTATGGTACAAATGAATGACAGGTGGTTCTGGCTGCTCGGGTGTTCCGCGTTCCCTTTATTGTAAACACATAACAGAGCTGTGAATGTAGGGCTGGTTGCAGTCACTGGATTTTCCATTCGGGTCTTGCTTTGACGTAAAAACTACAAAAGAGTACCAAATCTAGAGAATTGACCATGGAAAAGCAAGTAGTTTTAAACATGAGATTAAATCAAATGCCAGTCAGAACAACTGCAGACCAACTGGGTGCGCCAAAAACAACAGTATTGAATATTTTGAAAAAGAAACTGCTGGAGGTTTAAGAAGGTTACAACGATCAGACCATATCAGGAAGATATGACATTGTTAGAGCTGGATAACCAGCAAAGTGGGTATAGTTGCAGAATTTATTGATGACCTGTGTAAGGAAACATCATCGCTCTGTTCTTGCACTGTAGTCAGGGAAAATCACAGCAGTGCTACATATCACACAAATGCGAAAACATGCTGCCGGTTCTCTGTTTGCTCTTAATGCCACTGTAAATCTGTGTGCTTTATGAATCTGGTCCATAGAGAGAGCAAGACAGAGCAAAGAAAAGAAAAAAAACAGTTGTTTGTGTTTATATACACAGTTGTGTACAGATTATTTCTGGGAGGAACAGGTTAGAGCCTCCTACACCAAACACAGAATCAAAGTATATGGATTGACTTAATTAACTTGAGATCTTGAGAAAAAGAATCGTAATAAAGGGATAATAACAGCATATAAAGGTGTGCAATGTCAGAGGCTTGTAAGCCAGTTGCAACTACAGAGTGGCCTTATTTGGGGCAGTCCAGTACTGTCAAAACAGGCAGGGGTCAAAAGACAAGCAGGCAACAAGAGAGACAGGTCCACAGTCCAAATCCAGTAAGACAAGCAGGAAAACAATATAAACACGACACACTCAGAACTCAAGTACAGCACACAGAAACGTCGCAACACACAGGTAAAACACATAATGAGCCCTCGAATATCATGCAGGTGTGAGTGGGTGGAGTCAGGGAGAGTCCAAGTGCAGTCTCCCCAAATGGGGGAAAGAACATGACCAGGTGAGCAAATATGGAAAAATCATACACCTGGCCTGTAACTGGCAGTACAGCACTTCCTTTTGGACATTTGGGACAGTATTGTCCTTTTGCACATCATACAGTAATGACTTCCACAGAGTATATTTTAATACCATCAACAGCCTAAAAGGTATTTTAGAATTTTCCTCAATATTTAAAGTATTTTGGGAACAATAGGAAAATATTAAATGACAAACAATATAATGTAAAAGTCTATTTGCAATCATTTATTGTCATGTAAGCTTTGGGATTTGATCATTACTTTTAAAATGCCAGGTAATGTAGATGTTCATATTATTATAAGTACATTCTTGATGTTATACAGTTTTCTCTTTCATTGTAGAACCACATACAGCTCTTTACATCACTCTACTTACATCTAACTAAACATTTTCATTTTTGCCAGATTCTCTGTGTCCTGCAAATTATTTGATAAGTGTAACGTAGAACTCATGTATTTAACTATATTAGTTTCATTTCACTGAAAACACTGATTCCACACTTTTGAACTGTACAAGGGAAATTACATAATTGCATAAGTCCAGACAGACAGATGTCATCTGCAGGGTCACTCAGACTTGCTCTTAGACCAAATATTGAGCTACTGTTTGTGCAGCCCTGGTTAGAGGGTGACTGGGGATGGTCAAGGGTCATTGGGCCTCATTCATCAATAAAGCCCCCCAAAAAATCTACGTCAGATTCATGACGTGTTCTTAAACTGCAGAACTGTTCACACCTTTGTGCTCGTGAGTGTGTGTAGATTCTGTTCTCACCCAAGAATAAGAAAACATGAGTGAATGTCGAGTGAAACTGTGTGAAAACTGTATAAAATGGTTTTGACTGTGCATGTTGACTCCCAACCAACCACATCGTAACCATTTTGGATATATACAGGAATGGGCAGCCTAAATGTATCATGCTGATTAACACCTCAGTGTCACTGCTGGACTGAGAATAGTCCACCAACCAAAAATATCGAGCCAACAGTGTCCTGTGGGCAGCGTCCTGTGACCACTGATGAAGGACTAGAGGATGACCAGCACAAACTGTGCAGCAGCAGATGAGCTATCGTCTCTGAATTTACATTTACAAGGTGGACTGACAAGGTAGGAGTGTCTAATAGAGTGGGCAGTAAGTGGACACAGTGTTTAAAAACTCCAGCAGCCCTGCTGTGTCTGATTCACTCAGACCAGCGCAACACACACTAACACACCACCACCACATCAGTGTTACTGCAGTGTTGAGAATGATCCACCACCCAAATAGTACCTGCTCTGTGAGCGTCCATGGGGGTCCTGACCACTGAAGAACAGGGTAAAAGGGGCTAACAAAGTATGCAGAGAAACAGATGGACTACAGTCTGTAACAGTAGAACTACAAAGTGCACCTATATAGGAAGTGGAGCTGATAAAATGGACAATGAGCGCAGAAACAAGGAGGTGGTCATAATGTTATGCCTGATTGGTGTATATATATGTGATACAGTTGTAGACTGCAAATAAGAACAACTGTCTCATGGAAACAATCTAGCAGCACTTTACGACAACTGAGGCAACACTGTGGATTTGAGAACATTTACTTCAATTTGTTTTAATCAGCTACTTTTTTCCTCTTATCTCCTGCAAATTCTTGGATGAGAACCTCTTCTACAAAGGGAACTAATATTGTGTTCTAGCCTCACTACTTGTCTGTTTGCATCAAAATATTTTGTAATTCTGTAAATTCTGGAAAAGCCTTTTAGAGATTACTTTTACAGACAGCAAAGGGTTTTTGTTAGATTTTTTTTTTGCAGTTTACTTTTCAGCAGGTTGGATTTACAGGAATGGGTGGGACATCATTGAGAAATATTAACCTTGCTGAAAGCAGAGTTTCCTCAGTCTTACTGACTGACTTTGACAAAATGAAGTGGAGTCTAGTCGTACAATGCCTTTCCTTCTTTTTCTGTGTTTATACCTCAACACAAACCGGTAAGGCTTTTTCTGTAATAATCTGTAGACTGTTTTTAATCAAATAAGCAGTGCAGAGAGAAAGGATATCATTGTAAATGTTTACATAATAAAACATTATTTACATTTATTAAATATTTACATTTGGTTCTTATTTGATAACCTTCATATTTCAATCATTTTATTTGATAATATTATTATATGCAGGATGTTCATAACACGCCTGGTACTCCTCGGTTTTTAAAGACTGAATTCTTCAGATTCTGTTTGTTTTGGTAAATCATCAACAGTTAAATGCTATGATCGTGTGTTTACATGGGGCATTCAGGGTCAGTTTCCTGGACAGGGATTAAGAACATTTTCTGAACATTTTTTATTTCAATGGAGTATCTCCATGCTGAATGCTGTGTAGTGCAGGTTCAAAAATCTTACTCCGGTTTCGGTCCTGACTTGGACTTGACTGCTACAAAGCCTCGGTCTTGACTTGGACTTGATACATCCAGTTTTCATCCTGGACTCAGACTTGCCTCTAATGGTCTTGACTACACTAGTGAATACTGACCAAATATGTCTGTTGTACATGGTGTGTTTTGTTATCATATTATTTCGTAATCTTGACGCTTGTTTCATGATGCATATCGTATCATGAAGCTGCAGACAGTACCCAGTCCCAGATTGTTCCCACCCTAGTATGTCTATGATCTCCCACAAACATTCAGCCCAACGTTTCTCATGGTTGTCCACACTCATTCTGAGATCCTGCTAGATTAGAATCATTCGTGGTTTAGGTGTAGCATGAACAGTAACATTCTCCTGTTTTGTATTCCCCTT